GAAAGTCTCTCAGTGGACCCTATATCACAAAAGAACAAATAACTATGGCTCCTAGAAGCTTGCAGGTCAAGCCACGTCTAAAACTTAGAGCACAGGAAGACAACATTATATATCAAATCTATTGGATTCATCAACCTTCGTTGGGAATCTCTTGCTTGTAGCATAAATTAGGGAGGAGAAGGTGCCCTAATGAACAAGAAGTCAATTCTGGAGCAGAAGTTCAAAACTGAAGGTAGGAGATACTGCTCTTAAAGGAAGAAACTTGCAGCAGCTTGAGATACAGAAGCCCAGAAAGACTGACATATAGGCCATCACATCAAGGGCTGGGTAGGGTAGATTGTTGATGAATGGAGTAGGTGGGAGAAGATGTAAATGCTGGTAAAGCAGGAAAAGGGGTGGCGCAAAACACACATGGCAAGGGTGGGGACATATCTACTATTGAGAAATATCTTTAATCCACTCTTATCTGTAAAAATGCTTGTCTGTCAGGTAATGTTTGAAAACCCTATGTACAACAAAGTGGACTTAGACTAGCAGATATGGCAACTAAGGCTGAAGCCTCAAGTATGGAAACAAATAGAAGGAAGAACTTTTGTAAGCAGACACTAGTGATTGGAATATGGAATGTAAGTACCAAGAATGGAGGGAAATTGGATATTGTTAAGAAGGAAATGGAACCCATAAATATTGACATATTAGGTATTGGTGAGATAAGATGGACTGGCATGGAACATTTTGAGTCAAAGGATTATTTGAACTACTATGTTGGAGATGAAAAAGTGAGAAAAAATGGGGTTGCTTTCATAGTGAAAAAAGTGATTTCTAGATATGTCTTGAAATACAATGTTGTGAGACAGGATAATATCCATATGCTTATAAGGAAGTCCTGTGAATACCATGATCATTCAAATATATGCACCAACAACCAGAGCCAAAGAGGAGGAAATAGAAGATTTCTACCTACTTTTGCAGTGAGATATTGATCAAACATGCAATCAAGATAATGCACTAATAATAATGAATGACTGGAACGCAAAATTTGTGAACAGAGAAGAAGGATCAGCAGTTGGAAAATATGGACTTGGTGATACTGGCTGTATCCCAAGAACTTCACTGTCTATTGTTGTTGTTATGTGACTTTGCAACTCATAGTGACCCTATGTACAATATCTCTGAAACCTGCTCTATCCTGTGCAACTTTACTGTCTCTGACATAGTCACTGAATCAATCCATCTTATCGATAGTCTTTCCTTCTATGTCCCTCCACCCTTTCAAGCATGATGTCCCTCTCCAAGGACTGGTCCCTCCTTGCAACAAGCCCAAAGTATGTCAGATGAAGCCTCAAAATCCTTGCCTCCAAAGAGCAGCCTAGTTTCACTCCCTCCAGGACAAAATTGTTTGTTCTCCTTACAGTCCATGGTACACTCAACACTCTTCTCTAGCACCACAGCTTAAAGGCATCAATTCTCCGTTTATCATCCCTAGTCATCGTCCAACTCTCTTATGCATAGCAAGCAATTACAAAGACTATGCTCTGGATCAGGTACACCTTAGTCTCCTGACTGACAAGTGCTGCTTTTCAATACTCTGGAGAGGTTCCTAATAAGTGACTTGCGCAATGCAGTTTGTCTCTTGATTTTCTGGCTGTTAGTCCCATGAGTGATGATTGTGTGGCCAAGCAAACTGAGACTGTTAACAATCTCAATCTCTTCAGTATCTATTATAATGCTGCCAAATGGACCAGTGGTAAGAATCTGTTTTCTTGATGTTGAGCTTCAATCCATACTAAAGGCTAAATTCCTTGACCTGTCTATAGCTGTGTCTAATCTAGGCCTTTCATTCATTAAGGTCTCCTCAATCATCATAGCTTGATCTATTCTTGGTTTGGTATTTGTAGAAAGTACTGATAAATGATAAGTACAAATTGAGATATTTGTTTGCTCTAACAAAAAAATGCATAGTTGATCTTCTATCTTCTATCTTTTGGCCCTAGGGTCAAACTTTTGGTAAAAAAATTATGCTCCTAAGCTAGACTTTCATCTACATATACCCAACAGAGTTCTGATTCTTTAGAGTACTTAAAGACTTTATAAATCACAACATAATATCGGATGAGATACCATGCTAGGGGTAAGGCATTCATTGGTAATGAAAGTTTAACACTGTGGCACATCATCACAGAGCGTCAGCTAAATAATCTAATTATATAATTGACCATATAGATTTCAGCTACTATAACATATTTAAAATTAATATACAATCATATTGATACAAAAATTAGGAGTATTTTTTTAATATATTTTGAAACTGTGGCTGACTCTGAGAAGAATGGGAATCCTAAAATGCTTCATTGTGCTTATGTAAAACCTATACTTGGACCAGGAGGCAGCTGTCAAAACAGAGCAAGGAAACACTTCATGGTTCAAAATTGGGAAGGGTATGCATCAAGGATGTGCTCTATCTCCATATCTTTTCAATCAATGCAGAGCAGATTTCCTGGGTGGCAGAGCTCTATGAGGAGAAATGTGGCATCAGGATTGGAGGAAGACTCACCAACAATCTGCTTTATGCAGATGACACAATCCCGCTTGCTGGAATTGAGGAGAAAAGCACTAAAGCACTTGCTGCAGAAGGTCAAGGACTGCAGGCTTCAATATGGATTGAAGCTCAACATCAAGAAAACATAGATTCTCACCACTGGGCAAATTGGCAGCATCATGATAGATGGTGAAAAACTGAGGTTGTTGACAGCTTCCATTTGCTTAGCTCGACGATCAACACTCTTGGTACCAGAAGCCAGGAAATTAAAAGATGAATTGCATTGGGAAAGTCTACTGCCAGAGACCTCTCCAAAGTATTGAAGAGCAACAATGCCATTCTGGAGACTAAGGTGTGCCTGATACAGGCCATGCATGGTCTTTGCAGTTACTTGCTATGTATCAGAAAGCTGAACAATGACTAGGGATGATAGAAGGAGAATTGATGCCTTTGAGCTGTGGTGTTGGAGAAGGGTATTGAATATACCATGGACTGCTAGGAGAACAAAGAGGTTTGTCCTGGAAAGGGTGAAGCCAGTCTCCTCCTTGGAGGCAAGGATTCTGAAGCTTCGTCTGACATATGTTGGACATGGTGCAAGATGGGATCAGTCCTTGGAGGGGGACATCATGCTTGGGAGGGTGGAGGGACAGTGCAGGAGAGGAAAACCCTTAATGAGATGGATTTATTTAATCATTAGGTTAATGGGGACAGGCTTGTTGGAGACAGCAAGATTGGCGATAGAGCATTGTTTAGGGTTGTAAACAGGGTCGCTATGAGTCACAGGCGACTCGTTGGCACATAACTACAACAACAATATAATTATATGATAAAACCTAAATAGTTATTAATCAGAGAATTGGACAATAACTAAGGAGGACAGAAGGAGAATTGATGCCTTTGAGCTGTGGTGCTGGAGAAGAGTATTGATAGTACCATGGACTGCTAGGAAAACAAACCGATTCATCCTGGAAAGTCAAACCGGGCTACTCCTTGGAGGCAAGGATTCTAAGGCTCCGTCTAACATAGTTTGGACATGTTGCAAGGAGGGACAGGTCCTTGGAGAGGGACATCATCCTTGGTAGGGTGGAGGGACAGCGCAGAAGGGGAAGGCGAAGGCCCCTTATGAGGTGGATTGATTCAGTGATTGGGGTAATCGGGATGGGTGTATTGGAGATGGTGAGACTGGCACAGGACAGAGCAGAGTTTAGGACTGTTGTACATAGGGTCGCTATGAGTCGCAAGTGACTCAACAGCACATAACAATAACAACAACATCTTAAGATACAGACTTCCTTCATTGGAGAAATTACGTACAAATTAGTACATAAAAGGGACCCTTTAGGAAGAACTCTATAGTATGATGTTGATTGCCATCAAGTTGCGTACAACTCATAGCGACCCTATGAACAAAAGGCTGTAAACTTTTTTATAACCATCGTTATTTATCAAAATTCATAGGGTTCCCAGAGGCATGTAGTTTAGGAAGGGGATGTCACTCCTACTTTCAAATGGTATGAAAGAAACATCCAAAACAACAGCAACAAAAATCTATGGCATTCAAACAATAAACCAAAGACAAGGCCATATTTGATGTGGGTTACCAGAAGAAATTTAAAAGGAGTTCCTAGTCTTTTATAAAAAGTAAAATTCCTATTCTATCAGTTGGCAGAGTATTTAACTACAAATAATTATTCACAGTTATACCACGATGAACACTAAGCAAATTACTACTACTCTACATATATTGTAAAGTTAGGAAAATATATTTATTCAAAATTCTTCTAGAGTAAGGAACTGGATTTTGTAATATATTTGTTGTTGTTGCTAGGTGCCAGAGTCAAATATGACCCACAGCAACTCTATGAACAAAAGATCTGTACTCTGTTCTATCCTACGCCATCCTCACACTTTCTGATTGACTAGAGCCCATTGCAGCAATTATTGTATCAAACCATCTGGTTGAAGGTCTTCCTCTCTTTTGCTGACCCTCCACCTCTACAGGCATGATGTCACTAAGGTATAACCTCTCCTAGCTTTATCATCTTTTTCTCTAAGGAGCACTCCGGCTACACCTTCTTTTGGAAGCCCATGGAATATTCAGTATTGCTATCCAACACCATAGCTCAGAACCATCAATTCTTCTGTCATCCTTATTCATTATTCAGCTCTCAGATATAGAGCAAGTGATCAAAAAGACCATGGCCTGAATCAGACACACCTTAGTCCACAAACAGAGATCACTGCTCTTCAATAATTTGGAGAGATCCCTAACTGCAGACTTTCCAAGTATAATAAATTAAGATAGAAAAAAGAGCCAAGATTAATGATTACTCTTAGAGATCTGTTTTATGATATGATATGATATGATATGATATGATATGATATGATATGATGATATACTCTGTTGTAGAAAAATGTGGTTTTTCTAAATAGTTTTCAACACCAGTTACAACAAACATACCTGTGTGGCTCCGGATATGGACTCTTAGTGTCCCACTGCTGGCAAATTTTTGGCCACAATAAGGGCAGATTTTCTCCTTTTCTCCTGTATGTGTCTAAATGGAAAGGAAGAAAATGATTGAATACTAGTATAAAGACTTAAAGAAATATGATTAAGTGCCTCTGACAATGGTAAATCCTTTTCTCCAGGATTATGTTACATTAAAATGATTTAGTATCACAATGAAATTTTAAACAATTTATCACGGATATTCCCACTGGTTCTAAGAGTCCTTAAAAACACACATTAGTGTTAATTTGAAAATAATTTTACAGTTTACTTTTTAAGCCTATGTTGAGTCCCATCTATAGATGATGAAGTTATGTGAAACCAGTATATGACAACAAAACCACATAATCAAAATGGAGTTACAGCTGCCCTAGACTGCTGCCAAAAAACACTTTCTTAGAAGCATTTTTCACATTCTTAGATTGCATTTAACTCTTGAAAATAGAATTAATCTCAATAAGCTGTTACTTGCATTATGTTCCTCTAGTCTAGGCTGCTTTACATAGCAAAAAGGAAATATATCTGATTTGACCTATAAAATCAATTGTTTATTGAGGAGTCAATTTGTAATACCATCTCTGTTCCTCAACCTATCTTTAAGTTTAAATCAACCAGAGAAGGAAGGATAAATAAATGTCATCAAAAAGGAATCTGAATAAAATGATGGAGAAATCAAAGAAAAACACTTGACTCTTCCAAAATGAGGAGGGAGATGGGAGTATTTTAAACTGGTCTGACACACATTGGCAAGCAACCAAACTTGAATTCCTTGTGCTGAAGGCTAGAATTCTACCACTGAACTACAAGTAACTCATAAAAATAAACTGACAAATCCATTTACCTCGTTTAGCAAAACCAGAACTGGTTCTTAGGTTTTGCAATCTTCATTATTTAATGGTTTTGCTTCCTATTTCAAGAAAATGATACCCACATGACATATTCCTTCTCATCTGCTAATCTATAAATGCATCATTCACTGTACCCTGACTTTCTGTTACCTTTCTTCTCTCATCTCTGGGTATGATAACAGTCTTATTTCAGGTCAACACCACCACCTGTGCTTATGGAATCCTCTCCAGTTCTCTCATCATTGCACTGTCAATGCAAAGATATGTAGTTTGAATTCAGCTTCTCCACAGGAGAAAGAAGGGCAAATTTCTCCCAAGTGGTTTATTGCCTCTGAAGCCTCGTGAGAGGATCAACTATGTATTGGTTCTAACTTAATGGTACATGATAATAATAAACTATCTCCTCCATTTCTTTTTTTTTAAAAAACCTGTGATTTTAATGAAAGTTTATATGTTAAGTTGGTTTTCTATTTAAAAAGAAAAATAAATCTATAAATTGGACCCATTCTTATCCTCAACCAAAGCAAACTTTTGTCATAGAATTAATTGTACTTCTTGGCAATCCTTTAAATGGTTTCCAAGCCTGTAAATATGGATAGGATGGTACATATTTCTCTAGAGCAGTAGCTCTTGGCTGCAAATCACCGATTTCTCTGTCAGCTGTCCAACATGTAATCTATTACACCATCAAAGATCTTTAAAAGTTTACCAGGAGACGAGTTATTTTACCAACAACAAAACCACCACTCTGGTAAATAAGAGATGACATGTATATCTCAAGTCTTGGCACTCAAAAACTCAAGAGAAAGGTAAGTGAAAGGGAATGGGAATAATTGTTTCCAGTATCTGTACCTTCTCTGTGAGCATATTTATTAGTGTTTTCATTTCAGTGACAGTATAAAACCTAATAAAAGTAAACAGTAGATCTTCTGGGTAGAATTCTCAAAAGAGAGCTTACAGGGTCTATGTCTCCATTTGTTATAATGCAAATTTTTAGTAAGTATCATATTCAAATTATTATGAGTGAATGAGAAATATGACACAACCTTACTGACAGAAAATAAAAATCTGAGGCATTTACTGATGATGCTCGAAGACTATAAAGTCTTCAGAAGGAATTATATTACAACAGAAAAAAAGTCCTCACTAGACCAAAACACAAAGAAAAAGTCTCACCTTCCATATTAAGTTGTTAATTTTGCTATAACTGATTTTCTAACATTATTGTTTAATTTGTAAGTCTACACATACACATTATATTTGAAAAGAAACTATCATTAATTGTGTATTGTTTTGTACCAAAGAGTCAACGCCTGACCCATAGCTGACACTCCAGCAGTTAATAGCGCAGGAGGAGACTGCCCATCCTTCTCCCGCAGAGCAGCTGGTGGCCTTAAACTATGTGCCTTTGAGATAGTAGCGCAGCTTCTTACCACTAGGCTACCAGAATACACTAACATATTTCTAATTTGAAAATACTTATAAATCTTAGTTAAATAGTAGCGTCCTGTAGAATATATTTCTTTTAAAGCATTTAAATCATACACTTTAGAAACATCTCTAATCAGTTACAACATTAACCGATGACACTCTGTATAACATTATCTCAAGGATTTTACATTTGCCAGGCACTTATTTTCTCATCTCAATGAAGGTTCTTACACAGATACACAGTTTTCATATTTCAGGAAGAACTTTTATTCTGAAGGTCTACAACACACTTTAATTTAAAGTATATGGTACAACATATAAAAAAACCAATCTTCTTATTCCTTGATGGGATTTGTTTTTGTTGCTATTGTTATATGCCACCAAGTCACTTGCAACTCTAGAGATACTATGTACAACAGCCTATACCTTGCTCTATTTTGTGCCAACCATATTGTCACTGACACACCTACCCCCATTACTCTAGTTACTGAATCAATCCATCTCATGAAGGGTCTTCACCTCTTGTGTTGTATCTCCACCCTCCTAAGAAAGATGTCACTCTTTGCTACATGTCCAGCATATTTCAGGCAAAACTTCAGAATCCTTGCCTCCATGGAGCAAGCTGGTTTCTCCCTAAGACGAACCTGTCTATTATTTTAGCAATCCATGGTTTTTGTTGTTTGTTGTTATGTGTCGTCGAGTTACCTGCAACTCACAGTGACCCTACGTACAACAGCCCTAAACCCTGCTCTATCCTGTGCCAATCTTACTGTCTCTGAGACACCTACCCCCATTACGCCAGTTATTGAATCAATCCATCTCACAAAATGACTTCCCCTCGAGATGTGTCCCTCTCCAAGGACTGGTGCCTCCATGCAACATGTCCTAAGTAGGTCAGATGAAGCTTTAGAATCCTTGCCTGAAAGGAGCAGCCTGGTCTCACCCTCTCTAGGACAAACCTGTTTATTCTCTTAGTCCATGGTATATTCAGTCCTCTTCTCCAGCATCACAGCTCAAAGAAATCAATTCTCCTTCTATCTTCCCTAGTCAATTGTCCAGCTTTCTGATGCACAGTAAGTAATTGCAAAGACCATGGCCTATATCAGGTACCTTAGTCTCCAAACTGACACTGTTGCTCTTCAGTACTTTGTAGAGGTCTTTGACAGCAGACTTTCCCAAAGTAATACTTCTTTTAATTTCCTGGCTGCTGGTACTAAGAGATTAGTTGTGGAACCAACTCTGCACCATCTATTATGATGCTACAAATTAGCCCAGTGGTGAGAATCTTTGTTTTCTGTTGTTGAGCTTTAATTCATCTTGAAGACTTCAGTCCTTGATCTTCTGTAGCAGGGCTTCAGGTTCTCCTCTGTTTCAGCAAGCAGGGTTGTTGAACAGTCTGTTGATGGAATAGTCTGCTTCCAATCCTGATACCAAATTTCTCCTCATAGAGCCCAGCCTCCCGGATCATCTGTTCTGCGTATATATTGAAAATGCATGGATATAAGACATATTCCTGGAGTATACCTTTACCAATTTTGAACCATGCAGTGTTTCCTTGCTCTGTGCTGATGACTACCTCCTGGTCCAAGTATAGGTTTCACATTAGCACATCAAGTGTTCTGGGATTTCCATTCTTCTCAGAGTCAGCCACAGTTTGTTGTGATCCACACAGTTAAATGCCTTTGCATAATTAATGAACACAGACAGACATTCCTTTGGTACTCCCTGCTTTCAGCCAAGATCCATCTAACATTAGCTACAAATATCCCTAGTACCATGACCCCTTCAAAACGCAGCCTGCGCTTCTGGCTGTTCTCTGTCCCACCATCCAAAAGGTAAATGGACCCAGAAGCCCGCGATCCCTTGGGCCAGGAAAACAACACTATATACCAGATCTACAGGACACATCATCCTCGGTTGGGAAACATAATCCTTAAATTCAAGAGACAATGGCCACAGCATAAGAAATTGTCAGCAGCTGACATGTTTGGAATCACAGAAGTCCATAAAGCTTGAGATATAAACTATCAGGTCAAGGGCTGGACAACAGGAGATAGGTGTTGAAGGGAGTGGGTGGGTGTGAAAGGGGATGTTGGTGGATAGTAGAGCATGGAAATGGGTAGGTCAGGACACTTGTGTCAAGTACAGGGACAACACTGAAACTATTGGTTAATTCTACAATTGGAGAAATACCTTTCATCTGCTCTTTTCTGCAAAATCCTTGTCTGTCAGATACTTTCTTAAATCTGAACATTCAGATTAAGACAGACTAGGAAGAAGGACTGGCCATCTGCTTCTGAAATAGCAAGGCTCTGTAAACGTTGTGTATAATAGAACACACTTAGGGTAACAGGGAAACTGAGGTGGGGCTTTCAAGTATGGAAACAAAAAGCAGGAGCAACAGTTCTGAGGAGACACTAGTGACTGGAACATGGAATATAAGAATCATGAATGTAGAAAAATTAGATATTGTTAAGGAATAAATAGAATGCATAAATATTGACATACTAGGTACTGGTAAGATGAGATGGCTTGGGGCAAAGAAAAAGAAGATTTCTACTAACTTTTGCGGCGAGAGATCAATCAAACATGCAATCCACATGCATTAATAATAATGGGTGACTAGAATGCAAAAGTTGGGAACAGTGAAGAAGGATCACTAGTCAGAAAATATGAACTTGGTGACAGAAATGAAGCTGGAGACAGAACAATTGAATTTTGCACAATCAATGATTTATTCATTTTATAAGAAACACAAACAGATTATCCACATAAATTTCACCTGACAGTGTGCATAGGACTCAGATTGATTACATCTGTGGAAAGAACCACTGGAACAGCTCAATATCAGCTGTGAAAACTAGACCAGGTGCTGATTATGGAAGAGACCACCAACAGCTCCTATGCAAGTTCAAGCTGAAGCTGAGGAAAATGAAATCAAACACACGAGAACCAAAATATGATTTTGAGTCTATCCCACCTGAATTTCAAACCAGCTTAGGAAGAGGTTTGAGGCCTTGAACACCAATGAGTGAAGACCAGATGAATTGTGGGAGGATATCAAGAATATTATTCAGGAAGAGTGCAAACGGTCATTACAAGACAGAGGAGGAAGAAAAGACCAAAATAGATGTCAGAAGAGACTCTGAATATTGCACTGGAGCACCGAGAAACCAAAGCAGAGGGAAGAATTCAAGAAATTAAAGAGCTGAATAGAAGATTTCAAAAGGCCGAGTGGGAAGAAAAATTAAAGTATTACAATGAAATGTGAAAGTCTCTGTAAACTTTAATTGAAATTAATTAAAAAAAAAAGACAAAATATGTAAGGAGCTGGAGTCAGAAAATCAAAAGGGCAAATTCAAGCCTTGAGTTGCTATACTTAAGGATGCTTTGAGAAGAATACTAAATGATTCAGGAAGTATAAAAAGAAGATGGTAAGAGTATACAGAGTCATGGTACTGAAAGGAATTGGCAGACACAGAAGAATTTCATGAAACAACATATGAACAAGAGCCTATGGTGATGAAGGAAGAAGATCAGGCAGCTTTGAAAGAATTGGCAAAAGGTAAGGCCCCTGGAATTGATGGTATATCAATTGACATATTTCAACTAACAGATGTTGCCCCAGATTTGCTCAACAAGTTGTGTTAAGAAATGTGGAGGACAATCACTTATCTAGCTGACTGGAAGAGATATATATTTGTTTCCATTCCAAAGAAAGGTGATCCAGCAGAGTGTGGAAATACCATTCCATTCCAAGGCACTGAAGGTACTAGTACTGAACAAATGTATAAAAACAAGAATGTACTACAAAAATATTGCAACAAAAATATTTTTGAAATACTATAACACTCTTTAATTAAAAGACAAGTAAGTAGATCTCACTTAAAAATTCATTATAATCACAGTGTTAGGCGGTTCAAATCCATCAGGTGCTTTACTGGAGAGGGAGGAGCAATCTCCTCCTGTACCAGTCAGATCCAATTTGACGGTACACACACAAAAACCACAAAATTTTTAAAAAATGCACTATAATTTTACCTCATATATTAAAACATAGCAAAAGTATATTCACACACAAAAAAATAAAACCAAAAAAGTTGGAAGTCTATACTATTTAGAGGTTTTTAAGACAGAGCCAGTAGTGTCATTACTACTGATCAACCAATTCAGTCATATTGAAATGACTATATTAAAAAGTATTAAAATAAAAGTGACACTGACATAATAGTCATTTCTGTACATTCATTAACTAGCTCACAATAACTGGAAGAAAATTACCCCTCTTCATAGTAATTTCAACATTCAATATTAAACAATATTGTGTTTGTTACAAAATAAATTTTGCTACTTTAAAATGTACCTATTGTATAAATAAAAATCAAACACAAGAAAATTATTAATTTACTTTGGATAATTATCCAATTAACATAATATAATGGAGATATTTCCCAAATCATAATATGGAACAACATTATTATAATTGAGCTCAGCCAATATTTATCAAGACTACATCTATATCAGGAATTTCCCTAAGTCTTAGGAAATCAAAGATAAAGAAAGATCATTAAATCTCTCAAAGAGCTCAGTCTAAATATCTGACTTAGCTTTGAAACTAAATGATCAAATCACAAGTCATATTTTTAAAAATAATAAAAATCAATCTAAAACATATTAAAACTAAGAAATGCTCATTCACTGAGTACTAGCCAGTTATTTCACGTAATTCTTGTTGGTTTCATCAGAAAATTATGTTGATTCTAAGAAATAGGAAAAAAATACACTTTCTGAAGAGGTTATATAAATCAGACATTCCTTTTAGGTCTTTCTGGGCAAATAAATGAACATGAAATAGATATGATAGTTAATATCTATGATTGCACTGTTTAATTATAAAATCCATTCAAACTTATAATAAGTTTGTACCCACCTTCTTATGACTTCTAAGCACTGATGGTGTAACAAATGCCTTGTTACATAGCTCACATCTGTACTTCTTATGTCTTTCATGGACCACTTGGACGTGAACATTTAAGGTGTCCTTTCTTTTAAAGGTAGCATCACAATGATGGCATTTAAAAGTCCTCTCACCTTGGAAATAAAAAGTCAAAACAAGAGGCAAATGAGATACAACAGTGTTAACTCACATCTGTGCATGCTGGATATACTGTTGTTTTCTCTGAGAAGATAGGCTTATAACTAAACTTTATACTGTCCACAACAAATTTCTCACAACAAAGTCCCGTTCTATATATGCCAATGTGTGATGTGTGTCCATTAACGTCCTTACATTCCCTATCTCCTTAACTATACATTTGGAGACTGATTTAGTTAAATTTCTAAATACACCGTGAACTTTAAAGAAGTGTATCTTAGTACAGAAGCTATAGGTAGAGGTATGTAGGTATTTTGGTGAAACAAGGCCTCTGATAAGCAGAAGGAGTTGTTTATGAGGGCCTCTCCCCTGCCAAATTTTGCAACAGAACACAAAGCAGTACTGAGTAAAGAATGCTAGAAGAGAAGTCTCTGATGGAAGTCAGATAGAATCAGAGGAGATTCTCTCCTTTTTGAGATAGAAAGGAGAGGTACAAGAGGTCTCATTTCTCAGTACTCTATAATATGGTCTGGAGGCTCTGGTTTGCTACAAAGCAGCTGGAAAATGGATACAATATACCAAGCTCTCAGTGTGATAGTGGGATGGGGCTGAATGTGTTAGTTGCTATTTTTTCATTCTGTTTTTATTAGTAGGTGTTGTCCAGTCGACTACAACTCACACAAACACTATAGACAACAGATCTAAGTCTTTCCCTATCCTGTGTCATCCTCAAGGTCTCTGTCATGCCTGAAGTCACTGTTATAGTCACTATAGCAATATAACTCTTTGAGAGTCTTCTGCTCTATTGCTAACTTTGTTATTTTTTGAAGCATGGTATCTTTTTCTAAGAACTGGCCTCTCCTGACAAAATGTGCAAAGTATGTAAAATGAAGTTTCATTATCCTTGTCTCTGAGGAGCACCCTGGTTGCATTTTCACCAAGGTATTGTTGTTATATGCTGTCCAGGTGCCTGTGACTCATAGCAACCCTACGGACAATAGTTCTGAACCATGGTCTATCCTAAGCCAACATTACTGTCTTTGACAAACCTACTCCCATTACCCCAATCACTGAGTCAGTCCATCTCATTGAGGGTCATCTTCTCCTGTGTTGTCCTTCCACACTCCCAAGCACGATGTTTCTCTCCAAGGATGGATTTTTCCTTGCAACATGCCCAAAGTACGTTAGTTAGAGCTTCAGAATCTTTGACTCCAAGGAGCTGATTTCACCCTCTCCAGAAAGAACCTGTTTGTTCTCCTAGCAGTTCATGGTATATTCAATAATGTTCTCCAGCACCGTAGTTCAAAGGCATCAATTATTCTTCTATCATTCCTAGTCATTGTCCAGCTTTCATAGGACATAATTGCGAAGACCATGGTGTGAATCAGG